TCTGTGTTTTCTTTGGTCTGTCTCTCAGTCCTTTGAAGATACCTAAAGATAATTCTTTTTAATTCCTTACCAGAGAGCTCCAATGCTGCTTATTCCTCAGGGATGTTTTCTGGATCTGTATCCTGTTCCCTTGTTTCTACCACTTTATCTTGTTTCTTTGTGTGGACTGTGATGGTCTGTTGTCTCCGAGACATCATGGCGTTGTTGTATTAAGATCTCTGTTAACTATTTGTAAAGAGCAGCCAAGGGAGAGTCAGGCTTTTCTTGGTGGTTTTTATTGTTGGCCTTTTTCAGTCGTCTACATCCAGCATGTCCTTGGGGTTACTGGCAAACAGAACCTGTTCTTAAGCCCCTGGAATCTTGGAGAGCGCTGTCTCTTTAAATATCCAAAATAATCAAGCCACTTCTAAACATTCAAAATGGTGGTACCCTCCAGACAGGCAAAAGTCCACAGCTCAGTCCACCTTTCTCTTCACTGGTGCTTTGAGTTTTATTCCCCAGCCACCAGAGCAGTCCTCCGTGCAGTCCCTGGCTAGCAGGGCCGATTTTTAGGTTACTTCATAAATCCTACCACCACTCGGCCCTCTCCAAGCTGTCTGTGCCATGCCGTCAGGCTTGCTCAGGATTGCTGCCAGACAACAGTTCCGTATGTCTCCTGTTTTGGTATTTTCATGCAAATTCTTCTGCTAGTTGAGGTTTAGTCCACTTCTATATTCTTCCCTTCAAGGCTCGGGGGTCCAAGATTATCTTCTGTGTCTGTGTTAATTGGTTCCCCTTTTTTTTGTTGAAGATGGTCTGTGCAGTCTTTCTCCCTATTCCTCCATCTTATCGGAAGTCTTGGATCAAATTCCAAGCCTGGTCTTTTTTATGATTTTGAGTTTTATTCCACATTTTTCTCCCACTCTATCCAGGATCTCCTACACTGATCCCTTTCCAAGTGGTTGACAGTGGTAGACAGGCACCATCTAGTTCTTCTGGTGCAGGCTGAGGTTCTCATGGTCCACTAGTCCCTTGCTTGTTGTTTCCATGTGTCTTTGGTTTTCTTCATTCTTCTTTGCTCCAGATGAGGAGAGACCAATTGCTGTATCTAGATGGCTGCTTGCAAGCTTTATAAGATCCCAGTTGCTACTCACCAGAGTACAATGTAGAACAAAGTTTTTGTGTAGCGTATTATGCCAATTTAGCTTGATGTTCCCCGTGACCATGGTCCCGAGCCCACAGGTCCAAAAACTTGCTCTCTCAGGGTGGTTGGCCATGGCTAAGAAGTTGTCATAACTTTGTCCCCATTAGTTTTATTTATATGGACATTCTTACACCACATACAAATACATATGTAGAAATATTGTCTGCCAACCTCATATGGTCAAGAGTATATTACCTTTGCTCTAGACATACCCAAATATTCAGCCTGTCTACTTATGTATCTACTTGTAGATTAGTGTCTTTTATTACTGATAATGCAGTATTGTGTATGTAAAAGTGTTTCTCTTTGTTGTCTGTACTTCTTGTGCACTTTTCTATGTCTTCCTTTTAGTGTTATTATGTTGGTCACTTGCTTTTGGGGTATTGCCTTTCCTTTCACCTAAATCAATACTTGTCTCTTACCTATCTAGCAATTTTCTTTCCCTTCTCATCCCTGGTAACCAACAAAGTTTCCTTCCATATATAAACCTTTCCTTGACTTTTTACAATAGTGGATTAATACAATATTTGCCCTTCTGTGATTGATTTATTTCTCAGCATAATGTTCTCCCATTTCATCCATGTTATGCAGTTTTGCAGATTCTACATTATTCTTCAGTGTTGCATAGTACTCCATTGTATGTATACACGGTGTAGTAAATTACTTAGTGTGGCTTTTCTACCCATAAGTCTTTATAAACACCAAGGTGGAGTTTGCCATGAGCAACTGAGGAGCTCCTGATTGCTAAAGTTATTCACCTGGGGTATCTCTGTTGGGAGTGCCACTAAACAATGTTCTGGGAGGTTCCCACTCTCTCTCAGGTGTTTAGAATTCTGATGTTATGATTGGTTGGTTTGGCCACTCTGCTGGGCTCAAAAAGAAACCTCCTAGAGGCAGAACTCTATCTCTACTGCTGTTGAGGAAAATGTTCTGCTGAAAGAGACACGTTCCTGAGACATGCGTTGCTGGGAAAAAGATGCAAGAGACACACATTGCTGAGTGAGACACTGAGGGACACGCACTGCTGGGAAAGAGACTGTGAGAGACTGTTGGCTGAGGGACGGTGGGCTGGGAGAGAGACAGCATTTTTCCTGAACTTGAATTATAGCCTGTGGTGCTTCTCTAATAAACCCCGTAATCTGTGAGTTCTGTGTGGCCACTGTGGTGAATTATCAAACCCAGGAGAGAGGTGGTGGGTGCTTTGGGAGGAACAGTTGGTGAAAGGGCTGGAGGGAGGCAGCATGTCTGGCCTCACAGTAATGGGCCTTGGGCTACTGATAGTGGTTCTGTCTTCCTCTTGTGGGGTTAGAGGAGGTCCAAAGATGTGGCCGCCTTGCCCTTTTTGCAGTATATATGTACCACAGTTTGGTTATGCACTCCTCTGTTGATTCTATCTCTTTGCTATTGTGAATAGTCACACATGAACTCTTTTTCATGGCTGAAAATTCTGGGAGCAGTGTTGTGTAATGTTGAATGCTTCCGAGGCTCAAATTAGGAGCCAGACAACAGCTCCAGGCCCAGAAATACTTCCAAATCCCCAATGTTCTCTTATTTAAAAATTTAAAATTCCTAGTGTGTCTACGTTGAACACTTAAATCCATAGTCATGTCAGCAGTGGATTTTTATTTTATTTTAGACTCCTCCCCTTGGGCTGATTTACATGAAAGGCAATTTTGATAAATGATAGATAACCACTGTTAGCCAGTCCTTCTTCTCAACAAACAAAACCTAGGCACCAGAACCAATGAGATCAGAGAAACAAAAACAATCACAACCAACATTTATTCTTGATTTTTATCCATATTTCTTTCATGTGTCCTTATTTTCCTCCATCCATTAAATAAACAATAACCAAAACTGTACTAATATATACATAAAGAAAACATGCACAGCATGGTTGGTATGAGTAAACCTGGTCAAGTATGGGTTTCTGTACCAAGGTTTAGGAAACAGGCCTCTGTGGACACACAGCAGCTTATGTGAATACCTTCTGAGAGTCTGTCTCATTCCAAAGTTTTTTTTTTTAAAAAAAAAAATTCAGTTGGAAAGTGACATGGAAACCACACTGGGTTTCAGAGGGCTAATAACAACACAAAAAGAGTTTTTGTTCACATTAAGGGAGAAGGCTGTTATTTATTTTTTCCCAAGACCCCAATTTGTTATTTTCCCCTGACAAATGTTTTCAAATTACTGAAATACCAAGGGAGACAAAGATGAGGGGGGCACAGGACGGAATTGGCAAAAGTGTAAACGGGATCCAGGAAGTTCTGTGGTGGATAACTGATAAACAAAGCTCCTTCTGAAGAAAAAAATGTACGGAATATTTAATCAGCCCATCTTTCCCTAAGGGGGAAAAGAGAGACATTTTTTGTTTGGGGATAAGTAGCTCAGGGTTTTGCAGAGGGGAAAAATGTCATGGGAAAACATCTCTAATGTCTACAGCGCATGAAATATCTAAGAGTAGTGAAATATTAGAAGGCAAGGGAGAATATCTGTAAAAAATTATACACATATGTTGGATGAAAAGCAGAATTATGGGATTAAATGGTGTGTTATTGAAATGTCACTTGTACATAAACTCAAACATTCCTTTTTTAATTCATTTGCTCAGAGGTCTGACTTCAGATGGCCGAGCATTCCCAGTCTTAGCTTTGCTTTTATTCTTCACACGGATAAATACAACTGCTAAAATTATACCTAAAAGAAAAAAAATCATCATCAAAAAGATGGAATCTTAAAATGTACTGCCACATTCATTTATAAAGTAGTATCATGTTAGGAAAAAATGACTCATGTAACTTCATTTGTGTTTGTTATTCAACAGAGTTTCGTTGCCCTGGTGAATAAGGAACCCAGGTATTTGCTTTCTTGAACAAGCGGGCTTATCACTTATCTTTTTTCAGTAAGTATATACCAAGCTCCAGACCATACCTAACCTGGTAGCTGTCAGTGAGTCTCCATCAAGGAATATATGACCTCATGTCTTGCCTAGACTAAGGCAATAAGTATGTAAGTCAGTATGTAAATAAAATAAGGATGTAAGCATCTGACAGAGTTCCTAAACTTTGTATGTACTCAATAAATATCTATTCCAGTCCTTCTTCCCCTCCCCTAGACGAAACAGTCTAATTAGGACAACCAGGTGTAGGTGACTTGTTCACCAGCCAAAAGCCTACTTTCCTTGGGTCCGCACTGTTGTTGTTGTTATGTGCCGTTAAGTTGGACCTGACTCATAGCGACCCCTCTTTGGGTTTCCAAGGCAGTATCACTACGGAAGTAGATTGCCCAACCTTCCTTCTGAGAAGTGGCTGATGGTTTGAACCACCAGCCTTCTGGTTAGCAGTCAAGTGCCTTAGGCACTACGCTACCAGAGCTCCTTGGGTCCACACTAAGTATCACCTTATCTTTGGTACCGTCCCCATGACTCCAGCCTATGTTGTTGAAAGACCTTGAGTAGACTACCTAACCTTTCTGGTTTCTCCCATTTCTAAACGCCTACAAAAATTACACTATGTGTCATAGCACTAAATGCATACTATAAATTGGAGACCAATAGGATAAAGGGAGTTGTTTTAAGAAAATTAACCTGGTAGTAACTTTATAGGAGTAATCATAGCAAAAAAGACTAGAAACTCAGGGACTTGTTAAGAATCTTATCGTAATTCCAACCCTAATCTTAAAAGGTTAATGATATAAAAGTGTAAGATTCCGTTACTTCTATCTCTGTATATTCCCAAACTCTTCCAACTTTTAACTTTTGGTAAAATTATGAGATTAAATAAGGCTGGCAGTTCAAACCTACCAGCCACTCCTTGGAAGGAAGGTTGGGCAATCTATTTCCATAGTGATACTGCCTCAGAAACCCAAGAAGGGGTTGCTATGAGTCGGGTCCTACTCAACAGCACATAACAACAACACCATGAGATTAAATGGTTGATGTATAAACTCAAAAATTCTTTAAAGGTAGGAGAGCAAATTGGTAAGAAAAGGAACAGAGGTAGTATAAAAGGTGTGTACCAGGCAGTGGTTCTCAGGCAGAAGTGATGGTGACCATGTACATGTTTGGATGGCTAGAGGTCATGCAGTAAAGAACTACCATGTCACAATAAGCAGTTTGGACTGACAAGTATATGGAAATGAGATTCCTTTTAGCCCATGAATGAGTCTAGTGTTTTAGGATGGATGGTAGGAGAAAAGACCAGATGCAGAGAGTTAAATATTTAGAAAAACTCCATAGTTTTTTCTAAAAGAGAAAAGATGTCAAATTGTGTAATTCCCTTTAGTTGTAACCATATATTATTCCAAACTCCTTACTTGGGGGCACATGACTTGATGAAGTATCCATTTCCAGTCTTCAACTTGTGATGAAGACAGCAGTAAAAAGAGAGTAATTACTATAGTAAACACTGAGCTGTTCATGAAAAATGACAGGGGACTCTGCTGTCTTGCCAAGCCACGGGCCAAGACAGAGTCAGGGCTGTGATACAATGGAGTTATCCTGGCGCAATAAAGAATCAGGATCCAAATCCATGAAAATATCCAAAGGGCAATTCCACACCATTTCAGGTATGTAAGTATCTCCACTGTAAGGCTAAATTCCACCTATTTCAACAATGGCAGATTAGAATGTTTAACTCTTGAGTATAGGATCTGTGTACGTCTTGCCCATCACTGTATCCCCAATATCAAGCACCATGCCTGATACACAGCAAGTGAACAGATAGTGCATTTCCTTCTCCTTCATCATGAAAGTTTGGTAACTAGGAGTAATATATAACAATTTATGCTTTGAAGCATCTTATATTTTCCAACTAACCAATAAAGTCATGATAAAGCAATATCTCCCAACCATGAACATCTGATATGGTTTACTCGTGATCCATAACCTTGGCTATTGCCTAGGTTGCTGTTTGGCACACAGATCAACCTAGTAAGACAGGCCCCAAGTTGAGCTCAGATTTCTGAGGCCCAGGACAGGAGTCTTTGAATCTTAGAAAGCATACTCACCAATGACCAACAAGGTGGTTAGGAGTACACCAACTGCCATGCCCACGGTGGGTATCCCAGGCTGGTGAGATGCTGGCCGGAAACACCTATCCTCCACACATGTACAGAAAGTAACTGGAAAGCAGAAGAGTATTTGTTTACTTTTTTAAGTGAATATTTGCATAATTCCATATCAAAGACAAGAATTCCCTCAAATTCCCATGGTGACAGACACTATCCTAAGTTACCTGCAGTAAAATACCTACCTGATAAAGAGACAGTCCCTTCCATGGGTGGCCGACCCCCATCCTTGATGCGGATAGGGATGTCGTAAACTCTCTCTTCAAAGTTTGTGTGCCTGGTGGAGAGTCTGGCATGAGTGCCTGTGAGAACAGGAAAAGAATGAATGACAAGAAAGTACATCAGTCCCCTAGATCACCAAGAATAAAACTTGCCTTTGCATCAGATACTAAGCTTGACTGGGAATTGATTAGATATAAGTACAGGCAATTAAGGTATTCAAAGTACCACCACTGCACATGTCCTTTCTCATAGTCTTAACAAAAAAAAAGAGCTAAAACATCCTATAAGTCATTAATTCATGGTTGATCTAAAGAAATGAAATACAGGATATATAGCATGGTTATTGGATACCTGGAAAAGAGCATCTATAGACCTGATCCTGAGTTTCAAATCTTGTTAGCAAGGTGACTCTGGATGAGTCATAATATCTGTAGGCCTGAGAATTCCTTCAAGTCCTGAAATAAGGGAATGAATGATATTCTACCTGATTTTCAGGGTATTTATTTTTTTTCCTTTTCTTACAGAGAACTAAGAGTAAAAAATGACATGAAGGCTCAAATTTCTAACGTTGATTTTGGTCTTGTTGTAACTCACTCTTCTTATACCCTCCCCCATTCATATAACTGCCTAGATTTTTTTTCCAGAATTGGGGGAGATATTTTTATACTTAAAAATGATTATGGCCCACACTTCCACACTTAAACAAGATGTAGTAACAGGAACTAGATGGACCATCCCGCCTGAAATAACTTTAATAACTAAATAAATACACACACACACACACACACACATATATATATGAAATCATGTTTTCCTAAAGACATTGGACTTTAGACAATGAAGGATCCCCGAGAGAAGATAAACAAATGAAGTGAGTCCTACAGTTGTCCCCAGCTTATGGCCTAGAGAGAGTGTCCATATCTCAGGGAGACCTCAGTCAGAGCCCAGTGATTTCCGAGTGGAGGAGAGGGATGCGGAATAAGGAGAGGTCAGGACAGCTGGAGTTCACAAACAAGAGTACCAGAGCAACGACAACTGCATAGAAAGAGCTGTGGAAATTTGCAGAGGGTCTCCCTGAAGTCTTCAGCTGAAAATTGATCGAGAGTGTATATGAAGACACTACTCAAGGCTAGGAAAAAGACCCAAAGGATAAGAGGGACTAATCCTTGGAACTCAAAAAGGGCCATGAATAGTTCCTGTTCCTTCAAGCCAGAGTGGAAAATGTGATCATTCATGGAGCATCAGGTAGGGTACATAGAAGGGTTTTGCCTCAGCAGTTTGGAAAATGTCATAGATTAAGTGCTGCCCTGGTCCTGCCTAACAAAACTTTAAAGCAATGTGTAAAAAGATCAAATTATTTCCAAGTAACTTAACTACATTTCAAAACAAAGCTCAGGAATATTTATGGGAATACAAAAATATTCAAAATCAAACAAGGTAAAGTTCACAATGTCAAATATCTAATAAAAAATTACCCAAGATATGCAAGAAACCAGAAAAATATGACCCATAATGAGAAGAATTACCAATCAAAACTGAACCAGAAATAATACAGATGATATAAGTAGTAGACAAGGACATAATAATTTGAAAAAAAAAAGTTGAAAAAATTGTACTACCTGATCCCAAGTGTTATTACAAAGTTATAGTAATCAAGATGGTGTGGATTTAGTAGGAAGACAGACAAGTAGATCAATGAGCAGAAAAGAAAGTCTAGAAATTGACCCATATCTATATGGTCACTTGATTTTTGACAAAGTTGCCAAGACAATGCAGTATGAAAAGGATAATTTTTCACTATATATAAAAATTAACTTGAAGTGAATCATAGAACTAACTGTAAAAGTAAAAACTATAAAGCTACTAGAAAGAAAACAGGCCAACATTTTAGTGACTTTGGATTTGGCAAAAAATTCTTAAATATCATAAAAAATCACAAATTATACAAGAAAAAGATTAATAAATCAGACTTCATAAAACATTTCATATTTTTCTCTTCAAAAGATACTGTAACCAAAATGAAAATGTAACCCATAGCTTGGGAGAAAATATTTGCAGAACTTCTACCTGACAAAGCACTTGTATCCAGAATATATAAAGAGCAGTTACAACTCAACAATAGGAGTCAAACAATCTAATTTTTTAAATTAGCACAATATTTGATCAGACTCTAAATCAATGAAGATACGTGGATGGCAAATAAACACATGACAAGATGCTAAACACAATTTGTTAAGCAAATATAAATTAATACCATGATGAGATACTACTACACTCCTGCTAGTTTGACTAACATTATGATGACTGAGCATAGCAAGTGTTGAGCAATGGGAACTCTCATACACTGGAGAGAATGTAAAATGTTACCAATACTTTGGAAATCAGTTTGCATTTTCTTAAAAACTTAACCATATGCCTACCAGACAACCTTGTCAGTCCACTCCTAGGTATTTAACCAAGAAAAATGAAAGCGTATGTCCCTACAAATACTGCTTCACAAATGCTCTTATTAGCTTTATTTGTAATAGCCAAACATGGGATATAACCTGAGTTTGGTTTTTTCCAGTTTGAGAGGTGAATAGATAAACATAGAGTAATACAGTCATACAATGGAATACTACTCAGCAATAAAAAGGAATGAAGTATACATCCCAACATGAATAAATCTCAAAATCATGCTAAGTGAAAGAAGACAGACATAAAAAGAGTCCGTACTTTATTATTCCTTTTAGACAAAATTCTTGAAAATGCAAACTCATCTACAGTCACAGAAAGTAGGTCAATGGTTGCCTGGAGGATGGGCAGAGAGAGTGGGAAGGAGGGATTCCAACAAGGCATGAAAAAACTTTGGGGAGTGATGGTAATATTATCTTGTTTGTGGTGGTGGCTTCAGCGGGGTATACATATGTCAAATCGTATGAAGTCATGTTAAGCATGGGTTATTTTACTGTACTTTAATAATATTTCAATAAAGCTGTTTTAAAAAATCATTTTAACATCTGTTCCTCATTGGGAAATTTGCAAGTGCAGCTCAGATTGTCCAGCTCTCCATCCACACTCAGGGGGATGCTGTGTGGTGACACTTTGTCCTCCCTCCAAAGCCCAGGGCACTCTTTCCTCTGCAGAGCTTCCCCATGCAGGTTTCAACAACATAAGCTTCTTGCCTAGAACACAGAAGGAAGCTCTGTGCTGAGTATTGTAAGCCCGCTGAGGAAATGAAACCTAACTTCATCATCCATCAGTATTTTTCATGATGCACTTTTTGACAGCTCACCATTGATTTTGGAAACTTCCCAGTCATCTTGTAGGCTCTCACTGCCAAGGGCAAATGTAAAATGTAGGCCTCGAAATGACTGCTGATCATCATCAGTGGCTTCAAACATGACACTTCCAGGGGTTTGGAGAGGATGACATAAAAACAAGCCTGTGTAGTCCTTGGCTAGCCGTGGAGCATTGTCATTCACATCCATGAGGTTCAGGTGGAAGCTCGCAGTGGATCTCAAGGAGGAGCCACCTAAGGCATGGAATGATGCAAACACTTATCAACTCTCTCATTTTTAATAAAACAAAAAATAGTTGCTGGTGCATTGAGTCCAACTCATGGTGACCCTATGTGTGCAGAGCATAACTGCTCCATAGAGTTTTCAATGGCTGATTTTTCAGAAGTAGATCACCAGCCTGTTCTTCCAAAGATCCTCTGAGTGGATTCGAACCTCCAACCTTTTGGTTAGCAGCCAAGTGTGTTACCTATTTGCACCAACCAGGGACTTCTTTTTACTAAGAAAGGATATTTCCCTTTCTTTTTTTTTTTTTTTTAAAAAAAAAAAGTACAATTCAAGTAGCTTGTTGTTGTTGATTTTATGTGCCATCAAGTCGGCCCCGACTCATAGCGACCCCTCCTTGGGTTTCCAAGGCAGTATCACTATGGAAGTAGGTTGCCCAACCTTCTTTCTAAGGAGTGGCTGGTGGGTTTGAACCACCAGCCTTCTGGTTAGCAGTCAAGTGCCTTAGACACTACACTACCAGAGCTCCATTCAAGTAGCCAGGTATACTAAAAGGAGCTCTTGTAGTGCAGTGGTTAAGGCATTTGGCTGCTAACAAAAGGTCGGTGGTTCAAATCTCCTCAAAAGCTCGTTGGAAGAAAGATGAGGCAGTCTGCTTCTGTAAAGATTTACAGCCTTGGAAACTCAATGGGGGTCGCTAAGAGTCGGAATTGACTCGATGGCAGCGAGCTTGGTTTGGTTCTGGAGTTAGGTATACTAAGGTAGTAGAAAGAAAACATGCTTTTGAAATAAAAAATCTGGTTTCATTACTGATTAAAATGCCTTAATGATAATAATAACTAAGATTTATGTGCCAAAGGCTGTGGTAATATTTTACATGAATTACTTCAAAACAACTTTGATATACATTTACAGATGAGAAAATTGAGGTTCAGAGTAGTTGTGTCACTTGCCCAAGGACACAGCTAGTAAGCAGTAGAGAGGCTTCTAGTCTAAGAGGTAACTGTAGGGACCACATCCCCAATTGCTCCTCAAACTGCCTTAGGCACAGTAGTCACTCCCTAAACCATTTCTTCATCTATGTAACCTAGGGTTTTTGTAAGAATTGAACATGTAAGTGAATGTTCTCAGAGAACAGTAAAGTGCTGCACAAAGGTTAATTATTCTGGTGTGGCAGCACAGAGGGGGGCATTGTTTATTCAGTTGTGGAATTCTCAACTTTCATGGAAGAGACCCAGGTTCGGTTCCCAGGCAATGAACTTCATGTGCAGCTACCACTCAACTGTCAGGGGAGGCTTGTGGGTTGCTATGATGCAGAGCTTCCAAACTAAAATGGATCGGGAAGAAAGAGCCAGCTATCTCCATCAGAAAATCACCCAAAGAAAACCCTGTGGACCATGATGTTCCCATCTGCAACTGGTCATAGGGACAGTGTACAACCAAATAGCATTTTTTTTTTTTTTTGCAAGAAGACATTATGTTTTATTTTATTTTTTATTAGGATTTGGGTGAAGATTTACAGAGTAAATTCACTTTTCATACAGCAGTTCACATATACTTTGTCTCATGTCATTCACCAAAATTTACAATGCAGCAGCTCCCCTCCCACTTCCTCCCCATAGTTACCTCCTCCCAG